CGCGCGTTCTCTCGGCGAAAATCTTCGACGATTCCTCTCGCGACAAACTCGGACGCGTCGATTGGTCGCATCGAGTCGCGTACTCGAGATTCGCCGCCCACGAGTTCGAGTCAATTTGTCGTGGCGCGAATTGCTCCTCGTTCGAAACGGTTCGCGAGCTAAACGACGCAGCGCGAAAGGGGCTTACCTTCGTAGGAGATGCTCCGAAAGTCGTCGCCGGCGCGTACGCTCGCCAACAAGGTGAACGCGGCGAGACGCGCCAGTGGACACCGGTCGATCCTCATCGGGCTCTCGAGTCTTCCAATCTGCGAGGAAAAACGTATCGTACGGATGAGCGATCGGTGAGTCGAGGATCGGGGACCGGCAAACGGTAGGAAGAAAAGCAAAGTCGGAGAACAGGAGGACAACTCGCGCGACTGCAAGGTCGACGACCTCGCCTACGTCTCCGTAACCGGCCGTCACCTCAACGCGAATCGCGTTTATTCGCGATCGACGAACGATTCGCGCCTTCCGACTCGTCTCTATTCGCCGACAGACCTTTGCCGAGCACGACAAATCGATGCGGGTCTCGTTCGCGATTCCACCGTCCCTTTTTGCGCGTTTTGTCTTCGGTGGGCTGTCACGTTGACGGCTCGCTTTCTCGTCTATGAATAGACGAGAAGACCGTGGGATAAAGGAGGACGCGACAGACCCACGTGGTCGTCGTACGCGCCCGTCTCTCCTCGTCTCGTTCGAAAGGCCGAACAGTAAACGGGACGAAAGGACAGAAGGACCAAAGAGTCGCGAACGCGTTCGAGGCGGTGAAAGCGGACGGCAAAAGGACGAGTTGGAAAACGAGGAAAGACGGAAAACGGCGAAGAGAGATCGGGTCGAAGGAACGAGGTCTCGATCGCGGTCCAAACGAGATTCCACGGTTTTCTTTCGCGTCCCCGCTTCCCACGTAAAATATTCCGGTCCGCGTTGCGGTGGTCTCGCTGGGGTAAACTTTTTAAAAGGCCGTCGAGCGCCTGCACCATAATACACGGGACTCTACGGTGGTCCCGAAACTCTTTAAAAGGCTTACCACGAATATAAATACATCGCGAGCTCGAAAAAGAACTCTCGACTCGACGCGATACGCGCTCGGAAGACGATCGCGATTTATCGGCGCGAAAGAAACGGTGCTCCGTCACGTTCGCCTCGAATAAGGCCAACGAGAAGAGCCACGGTTTACCGTATACGTCCGCGAACGGTGCCGATGTCCGCATCCGTGTCTCCGTTACGAGAATCGATCAGTGCTCGAAACTGTAGGATCTTGTCTGCGCTCTTCTGTAGGATCTAGATGGAACGTTTCCTCGGAAACGTCACACGCTTCGACCTAGAGATTTCGTATCGTACAAGTAGGTTTTCTTGCGATTACCGGAGATAAGCACCGGTGCGCGGCAGAAAGATAACCGCGACGAGCCGATTGTAACGCGTTCCTATCGATTTATCTCCCGTGTTCTTCGGAGTTTTTCCTCCACGCTGTCTCGAATCGATAACGAACGTTTCCGCTTTCCCTCGCAGCCTCGTCGTAGCGCGCTCTTGATTTTCCAGCGTGTCCGCTCGCAGGGTGTGGCTCGACTTTGTCTCTCTCTTCTGCCGCGCGTCGTCCCGTTTTCTAGTTCCGCGGATAGAAGCGTCGTGCCTCGCGAGCGTTCGAGAAAGGCGATAGCGGCCGGTGGAGTCCACTCGGACTCGAAGATTTATCTCGAGCCGGTAGGCGAGTAGGTCGACGAGCGAAGCGTAGTCGCGCGTAGCCTGGCGCGCGACTGGCCCGCGAGAAATTTTATGGGAGCGGGTCGCCAAACATGGTCACGCGTCCGCGACTTACCTTCGCGGGGACTGGCTC